TTCAATCTAGCTCTTTCAGAGGAACGTTTCCCTTTAAAATATCACCGATAAAACCACGAATGCGCTATTGTTGGGCTCGGTATCGATAAATAAACAATAAAAAAAACTCAGCGTTAAATAGGTGTACTCATAGTGATGTGACAGAGTCGATATTCTTTTAGTTCAAATTAATATGTCTTGAGTTTCTTGTGTGATTGTGATTGATTCATAGTGATTTGACTTTAAAATTAATTGTAGATCACACATTCCCTCTTGCTATAATAATGTCATTTAATTATTGCTCATACAGCTAAAATGTTACTAGGTTTTTTTTTATTGCTTAGATGGGCGGACGAGCCCACCTGGTGCTAAGTGTTTACTGGAGCCCATAGACATTTACAACGTAAATGGCCAACCAACTTGAGATATAAGTTCTAAGGTCTCAATATAGTTACAACGGCTGCCCCACCCTTCAAACCGAAACGCATTACTGCTTCACGGCAGATATAGGCAGGGTGGTGGTACCTACCCGTGCGGACTCACAAGAGGTCCTACCAGTAATTACGCAAAGGTTTAAATGATTTTTTATTTTTTATAATAACTATGAAGCGGTAAACACAAAGTTTTAGCTATGGGTGTTTGTTATTTTTGCTAGACGGGTCATAGAGCGTGGAACTCACCTGATGTAGAGTTCACGGGAACCAGGCTCTACTCGTCTGGGCTTTATCAGATAATTAACATTCTATACAGACCGTCCTAAGACATAACTTTACGTTTGTAATTGGTCGAGCAGTAATGCTACAATCCTTTGAGTTTCTCGCGGGATCTTCTCAGTGGGTCGCGATTCCGATCCGGTCGTAAATTCTGCGAAGCATAGCTCTTGCTAGGGCTAGTATTAGCAATTTTCTCAGGATATCCTTAGGCTAGCCCCTTAGGCTACCAGCAATTAGGGTAGGTATTTTTTCGGATTCCACCTGTCATAGACTTAATTACAGCTACTTTTATGATTTAATCTCGCATTTATTATTGTCGTTACATTATTTCCGATTATAATTCACGGGAAAATGGTTTGATGTCCGCGACTGTAATGTGTTTACATGGGTATATATTGGAAGACTCAGAAATAAAATGAAAAATAAAATGGCGTAGACTGTTTGTGTGTCTGTATGCGCGTATCTAGAAAATAATAGGTTTTTGTCTGTACATTAATTAGGTAATATGTCCGTAGAGCCTCAGTTGTCCACGTCCCTATTTTGATCTGATGACGTCTTATAAGTCGATGAACACCGGGTGCACGCGCGAATAAGTGTCACGTTCCGCCTGAGGCTGAACGTGCAAGCGAGAGCGCGAAACAAGCGATAGAGAGGCACGATCGGCCCGAGCGTTGACTTGTGACATATTTATCTCTCTTCTCTCGTGACGTCAGAGCTAGCAGTTTGAATAGTTCTGCTGCTGACGTTATCACGTAACACTATCGTCCGTAAACCGACTATACAAATAACCAATTAATTTTTTTTACTTTAATTTCTATGTACAAACTAAAACTTTCGTATATTTTTTCAAACTGTCCATGTAATCGGCAAAAATTAAGTATTTTTTAAATATTGTCGTAATGTATATTTGCTGTCCCGATCGAGAAACTTCTTATTTTTTAATCTGAAGTCGGTTAAAAGAACGTCGCGTAGTCCTACGCCCTGTCAACGGCCTACGTCAATGATTTGTCGTAGACCGCGTAGGCGTAGAGCACGCCGTAGATCGTCGTAGCAGCGCTACGCAGTTATCTTTTAGGGGTTATTCTTTTGAATTGAAGTTCGGGTTATTCTTTTGAATTGAAGAATTCGGGGGTTGATTGCTTCCCGCTTCCGTAGGTTTAACCCGCGATTCCCTACAAGTGACCCCTGGGTGGTGCAAAACGGGAGCCAAATACATAATCGGTGGTAGGACTTGTCCGACTGGCTGGCGACCACCCTCCAATTAGAGTCCGCCGCCAAATAGCCTAGCTGTGTTCCGGCGTGTGGGTTGGAGAGCCAGTTTTATTCNCCACTCACCATCAGGTGGGCCGTATGCTCGTCTGCCTACAAGGGCAATAAAAAAAAAAAAAAAAAAAAATATAATATAATAGGTTTTTTTATTATTATTTAAGTATTATGTTTTTTTTTGTCGGGGACGCGAGGAGTGATGTTGTGTGATTTGTTTTATTTTGTCTAGTTAGTGTTTCTTCAGGTTTAAATGTGTAATAACGGTGGTGTTTAGTATCTGTGAAAGTGCAAAAATGTGGGAAAATGAAACAAAGCCGCTGGACGTAACTTCTCGGGATCCTCCAAAAAGTCCACTGAAAAAATCTCAGTAAATGACCACCTTTTTACGGAGATTATATTTCATCCTATATCATCTCATCTCATTTACCTTAATTTCATACCAGTTTATTGATGATGTTATTGTTATTGAAGTTAAGAGGTTATTGAAGATGATTAATTTGAGACATTCTCAAATTAATCATCTTCATTTCATTTCATTTCACTCCATATTATCATTTTTCATAAAAATAAAAATATTAATTAAAATAAGACATGAACTAAAGGTCTTAGTTACCAGGTCATAAAATTCCTTTAAAAAAAAAGTAGTATATTATTTTGTATTTGATAAAAAAATATCATCATCATTATCAGCCAAGAGTCGTCCACTGTTAGACATAATTAAGTCTTTCCCGATTCACGCCGAGAATCTTAAATTGAGTGATTTGTTCCTAATTATAATAATAATAATAATAAATATTGTTTGATAATAAGTTCATCGCACGTATGTTTGTCCGATTTGGGAATCGAACCCACAATCCTCAGCCTAAAAGTACGGGGACCAGGTCAGTTGTAAAAAAAAATTGCATTTTTATCTATTGACTTATTAAATATTAGCTAGATCCAAGTGACGGTTTCAAGTGTGAGGCGACTGGTATGCACCGCAACCGAGATTTCGACCTCATGACCAAAGAACCTAAAAATTACTCCAATAAAACACTTATCACCATTTAGAGTTTTAATTTATTTGAGGAAACAAATAAAAATAGTTAAGGTTGAAATTTCGATAAATTACTTCCCATCCCTAGGCGGCCGCTAGTGCGGGAACGCTGTTCGGACGACAATCGATAGTTATATCGACATACAGTAAGTGAGAAAGCCTGTTCGGTACAGAGGCGCGCTGATCCGACGTGAGCACTCCCTAAGTGATTTATTACTCAGGTTTTTTTCCTGTATTGCGATTGGTTGGATATTTTTGGTCTTTCTAATATGTTTTCAAAGTAATAGTGTTTTACTAGAGGTCTTAAGTGCCAGCAGGTAACGTCACTTCTAGAGCTCAATGTGAGTGACGGAATTTACGTTGCTGATGTTCACGGACAACAGTAACAGTTGAATACTAGATATGCCCGAAATTCGTCTACTTCATCTAAGGCATAGAAAACTTTACAAAAATCAATTTAAAGGAGACGGAAAATCGTGGGCCAAAAATGTAATAACTCGGAATGTAGTCTAAAAAATTTGTCATATTTTTTTATATAAGAATATAAAAAATCACCTCAATCCTCTTTCAGGGACCGGAGAAAAATGAGAAAGTTAGTTTTTGTCGGTATAACGGTGTGATCGATTTAATTAATCGATTACAGGATTATAAAAAGAAAAACATTGCACTAGGTAATTAATGCAAAGTAATTAAATGAGCGATTTATACTTGTTGTATACAAGTGCGGTATACGCCGGATTTAATTGCGATTATATACATAAATGAAGAANAGTAATTAAATGAGCGATTTATACTTGTTGTATACAAGTGCGGTATACGCCGGATTTAATTGCGATTATATACATAAATGAAGAAAAAGTCTATTATTACTTAACAAAGTAATATGATTATCGATTTCAAATCGATTAAAATCGATTGTATTTTTGATGACAGCTTTGACAGTAAGCTGACATGACGTTTGTTCATAGATTAAACAATCATTTTTTGGCGCTTGATGGTTTTTTCTGCTCTACTCGTTTTGTATCTTCGACGCATTTTGAGTGTGTATCTATCGGGCTGTTTTTATATTTTCAACGATCACTGCTTTATTATTACGGATTCCAACTCTGCCAGCCTTGTACGACAATTGCTTCTACACTGTACACCGAAGATCGCTCACACGTTTGACTTGAAATTGTTGCATTGGATACTGTTGAAATTATGGATCGCTGTGTGAATTGTGGGATAGCAATTTCATATTCCATACCTGATATATATCATTGATATTCATTCATAATATGACATTTAAAAGGTTATCCAATGGATATAATAAACATTTACTTATGCTTAAATAAGTTATTATTCAGCTCTTTTAAAGAGATTGTAACATAACCTACCTTTTACTAAATGGATCGCTGTGTGAATTGTGGGATAGCAATTCCATATTCGATACCTGATATATATCATTGATATTCATTCATAATATGACATTTAAAAGGTTATCCAATGGATATAATAAACATTTACTTATGCTTAAATAAGTTATTATTCAGCTCTTTTAAAGAGATTATAACATAACCTAACTTTTACTAAATCTTTATTAACTCGGCTCTCAGATTGAGAAAACTTTTATAATTTTCAGCAAGGTACTGATAAATCTGAATCTATTAATTCATATTAGTTTCATCACGTTACATTCGGGCCCAAAAATGTATGTAATCGTTTCAGTCTCCTTTGAACAGATCATTGTAAAAGTAGTTTTACTGGTGGTAGGACTCTTGTGAGTTCGCACGGGTAGGTACCCACTGCCCTGCCTATTTCTGCCGTGAAGCAGTAATGCGTTTCGGTTTGAAGGGTGGGGGCAGCCGTTGTAACTATACTGAGACTTTGGAACTCACTAAGGGGTTAGTGAGGGGGGTTGGGGGGTTCAGTCTTCGCTTTCCGATGCAAATAATCGTCGAGGGAGAAACCAAGAAGGAGAGAGCCTCCACACTAAAATCGGTTTTGATAATTGTATATTGTTGCAGATTGGGTTTGATCTCGCAGTGGAGCGCCCTGGCTGGACGGTACGGAGGCCTGGTGCCAGCTCCCTGGTACTGGCAACGACCTCAAGAACGAGCCTCTCCTCCCAAAGGTAGGGAAAGTCTTTTTTCTTCCATTAAAATGGGCACTAGTATCTTATATGCGTGGGTTCGTAAGATGCCGGATTTGAAGTCGGGTTTTCATTGAAGAATTATCTCAAAGAGTTTAACGTATCTTTTATTTATTTATTTATTTTTATAGCTTAGATGTGTGAACTATTTCACGGCCCACCTGGTGTTATATGATTACCGGAGCCCATATACATCTACAACGTAAATGACGCCACCCACCTGGAGACATGAGTTCTGAGGTTTCAGTTTGTACAGTACAACAGCTGCCCCACCATTCAAACCGAAAAGCATTATTGCTTCACGGCAGGGTGGTGGTAAAAAAAAAAAGTGTTGTGGTACCTACCCGTGTGAACTCATAAGAGGCCCTTTTTTTTTTTTTTTTTTTTTTAACGCTGGGGAATCCATTTACGTCATAAGAGGTCCTACCACCAGTAAAAATCTACCGCTATCTACCGCTTTTTTAATAGAGCGTATTTGGTATAACTTATTTTTGAATTAATTAATTGTATCTCGTTACTGTCGCTTACGGGCATCAGCAAGGATACACTCTATATTATGACATTAAGGATTCCATTTCAAACATTTATTTAAAAAAGATTACGTCATAGAGCATAGGTAGCATTAAGCAGGAGGATGAACTTCAATACATCTTATATATGCTGATCCAACCCTAAAAATATAAGTAAGCTTCCTAGAAAAAATTCTATGGCGCAATGTATACCTAATTATAACGCTGGACAACGTTCATTGTACTCTAAAATAATCTGTGGCACACATAAAAAGCCGGTCAAAAAGAAAAGGAATCATCAAAAGTGGCTCATCTAGAATAATCATCTTTGTGTTACGTACACACACATAAAAAACGGCCGAATTTAAAACTTCCTCTTTTTTGAAGTCGGCTAAAACATGATTCATAAGCAAGAGGGAAAAATTGTAATGTCGTGCTTGCCTATTCATACGTTCAGGAGTCAAAGCCTAAGGACTAAGGAGACAAAGCCTCCGCCGCGACTATTATGTGCTCTTGATGTACGGAAAACAGCCGATAGTTAAAAGTGCTTCCGCACCATCTAAGTTGCTAAGCGATTTATTATTATTAAGCGATTATCTAAGTGAGCTAAAAGTACTATATCTCTAGCCTAAAAAAAATCCTATCTATCCGCTGATAGCCTAAGGGGCTATTCCAGCTACGTCTGGACGGTTAGGTGAGTTCACGGGCTCAACCTGAGAGAATTTTCTAACACTAGCCCTAGCAAGAGCCGTGCTTCGCAGAATCTACCACCGGATCGGAAACGCGACCCACTGAGAAAATCCGGCGAGAAACTCAGTGGGCTGTGTCTGTGGTTTACTCGTCGAGCCCTTCATCGCAAGCGACGGGTTCGGCGAAGACGATGACCGGTGCTTGTGGTACTTTAAAGCACCGTTAATGGATCGGGAGGATCCACTGTTTACCATTCGGTCCAACGGATCGGGTATGACAAAATTTCGATCGCAATCGATTGACTCGTATGTCAACGGACTGCATTAATATATTCGATAAACTAATTGTGGATTGTGACTCGAGTGAAACTCGGTCCCCTACTATAGAATCACGTTCGTAATCCGACACTACAAGCATAGGCGAATCGATTACCGCGACACTTCCGAAGCCGTATTCTCCTGCTCATATTACTTGGATTTTTATAACCGAAATCCTTAGTAGAGCGGATCCGGGCGTTGGCGGGTTATATTGAAGCTTGAAGTCAAGGCTCGAGATGATAACTGTTATTTACTTGAGCGATTGAATATCAGATAAATGGCGCAGCGTAGGTATATAATGACCCTATGAAAAGTAATTGGGGCTTAATGGAACACGATAAGGTTCAAATTTTGACCTCGTTTTTCAAGGTGGTGTAATTCAAGGTTTCGTGTAATAAAAATCAAACCCGCAAAATTATAATTTGCGTAATTACTGGTGGTAGGACCTCTTGCGAGTCCGCGCGGGTAGGTACCACCATCCTGCCTATTTCTGCCGTGAAGCAGTAATGCGTTTCGGTTTGAAGGGTAGGGCAGCCGTTGTAACTATACTTGAGACCTTAGAACTTACATCTCGAGGTGGGTGGCGCATTTACGTTGTAGATGTCTATGAGCTCCAGTAACCACTGAACACCAGGTGGGCTGTGAGCTCGTCCACCCACCTAAGCAATAAAAAAAAAGTTGGTGGAGGTTTCCACGTTGATATGTGTCGACCCGCCTAATGTCGGCAGGCTGGGAGCTTACGTCTAGTGAAAATTTCCTTCAACTTGTTATATGTGCAAACTGTTAAAAGCTCGCGCTTTTTAAGCAAGCACAATAATTCGACAACAAATTCATAGAGCGAGCACTTTATTCATCAGAAGACCAAAGACGCTCGTCTATCGTTCATCTAAACCTTACAGCCCAATACAGGCCGTCTAAAAAGTATCTAATTTCAGAATAAAAAAGTGTATTTTTTTTATCACAGTTCACTCTCAAACATCAACAAAGAATTGCAAGACATTTTCTCCCCGAACAATAAACATTATTAAATCAATCCCCGACCTAGCTCGTTAGTTAAAAACACACTCCCATGATAATTGTGGTGGCGAACAGCGAACATACATTTCCGCTAAACAAGCAGCAGTGATCAAGCGGGCCTCATCTCGGTTTAATTCCCCCAAAACCCATCTGAAGCGAAACAAAGGAGACGCCATTTCACGCGGCCCAAACCGACCGAACAATGCTTTTCTACCATCCACCTACAATTATTCACGTATAGCAACACCGACGAAACGTCAAACTGTCATCGGTCTCGCTCTAACGCGCGCCGTGGTCTGCAGCCGTCGCGGTCGCGCCCGTTCCGTTCCATATTCGAATACGTTCGCGCGAAAATCGGTGTCGGTAGTGATGTCGCGGTTGTTTTAATTTTCGAATGTGGTTTTGCCGTGTTCGGAGCGATGACTGCGCATTTTTTTTTTGTCCTTTCAGCATTTTATTATTGAACCGTATAATGTTCAGCTCTTTGCGGCTATGAGATGAGAGGAAATATTGAGTGAGGGCCGTGATGATTGCAATCTACAAAAGGTTTTCTTTTTAAATGCAGCATCTGTGTATTCGGTACTTCGGTTGTTAGGGATTAAATATTTTCGATTTCATTATTCGTTTGGTTTTTTTTTTCGATTATACATTTAGGGTTTACGAACACGGACATGTTTACATATTTCTAATCTAATTTAATGTTAACGTTTTTTCAGTTTCTAGGCGACTTTTTTTTTCGAAAGCAAACGTGCAGATTATTTCGTATCCCGTCTGATGTTAGAGGTTTACTTGTTGTTTATAGACAAATGTTAATAGTTCCACTTGCTTCAAGACATGATCTCAATTGCGTGTAATAAAAATCAAACCCGCAAAATTATTATTTGGGTAATTACTGGTGGTAGGAAGGACTTCTTGTGAGTCCGCACGGGTAGCACCACCACCCTGCCTATTTCTGCCGTGAAGCAGTAATGCGTTTCAGTTTGAAGGGTGGGGCAGCCGTCGTAACTATACTGAGACCTTAGAACTCATATCTCAAGGTGGGTGGCACATTTACGTTGTAGATATGGGCTCCAGTAACCATTTAACACCAGGTGGGCTGTGAGCTCGTCTCCCATCAAAGCACTAAAAGTAAAAGTATTTAGTTTATTTGTTATTAATTTAAACTGTGAGATGACATATTAGTACAAATTTAAGTGGTCAGAATTTATTCATATATAGTCGAAGGAGACGTCACTACAGTACGCGAGTGCGAGGAAGCCCGCGGATTGTTGCCTCTACGCACCCACTATTTCTTTTCAGTACGGCAATCGTCTTTTTCCATGCCATTGTTGCCAGTCTCAAGTTATTAAAATCTTCTATTATCAAATGCATGTGTACTCTATTACAATAGAAAGAATATAGAGTGCAATGGAAAACTGTAATCGATTAGGATGAAATTGAATGAAAATTTGGAGGACTTTTTGACACTTTCTCACACTTATACACTATCATAGACGATAAAGAGTTAATAAAACGCAATAAAGAAACACAGAACTAACCTTACAAAACAATTCATTGGGCGCGCCAAAAATCTTTCCTAAATCTACCATCAAAAATATTATTGCCAAATAATTTTACAACTTATTTCTATGACCTGTTCGCAAAAAGGTTTATTTCAATGCCAAATTCGCATTACGAAATACTATTCGATAAAAGTACACAAACAAACCGCGAATATTCGAATTATGAAAATTTATCAACCAAAGGTGCATTCGGAATCATCTTTTTTCTTGCGATCTCTTTCTCTTTCTTTTTCCCACAATACAATAATGCATTGCGTAATTTTATTCAATTAAATCGTGAATTTACTAACAAAACTTCTAAGTTCTATGTTTGTGCACGCGACATATAAACTGCTTACGGTAGTAAGCGATCGTGTAAACATCAACTCCGCGCCAACAAAGGATTACCACGCGCGGCTTCTAAAATCAATTCCAATCACGGCAAAACGTCCAGTTAGCGTGACCCGTTCATTTATGTTCTGTTAAAACAAAACAGAGCTCATCGTTAGATTGTTAACTAGTGTTCTAGAGCTACGAATCTTTGTATTGTTAAACTGTGTACAGTTCAGCTTGTCTGGACAACCCTTTGTTTTATGTTAAAAAATTATCCAGTCATCGGAATATAGACATTGACACTGAGCGTTACGGTAGAGTTTTGACTGAAATTTCAATGGATTCAATATTCTTAATTCGAAATGTGTTGTTGCTGTGATTCCTGTGACAATGTCGGTGACGTCCTGTTTCACGCGACCGCGTTCCGAATTCGAATTTGAATTTCGAACGTGTAGTCGAATTTTGTGTTCCATTGTGATCTTCTGTTAGCTGATTGGATAACATGTGTTTACCCTTACTACAGGTTTTGATTGATTAAATCTATTTTGAATGTCGTTTTGAACTTTTGTGTTCGTACTCTTGTTATATGAAAATTATGTCGAAAGTAAAGAGGGTATGCCATTAGAGAAAGATTTAATCCAAGTATTACATAATAATTGATTTTCTAAATAAAATTAAACTATTCATTTTGAATGATGAATTTATGTATGCAATTTTTTTTATACCACTTCTTCTACTAATGCGATTATAATTTAATTTCGTATCAATTCAATAATGTGGTTTCGTATTTGACGAATCAAATGATTTTGATAAATGAGCCCGAGAGGTATCAGATTACAACGATTGCACTTAAATTCACAATGCCGATTAATTTTAAACTTTTTATAAACGTTACCCTTACAAAACTTACACTTAGTAGTTAGTTATACTTATTTTAGCCAGTTTTAAAATTTTATCAAATTTTAATTTAGCGTGTGACGTAGTTGTGCGGGTCTTGTGAGTCCGCGCGGGTAGGTACCACCGTCTATTTCTGCCGTGAAGCAGTAATGCGTTTCGGTCTGAAGGGTGGGGCAGCCGTTGTAACTATATTTGAGATCTTAGAAGTTATATCTCAAGGTGTGTGGCGCATTTACGTTGTAGATGTCTATGGGTTCCAGTAACTACTTAACACTAGGTGGGCTGTGAGCTCAACCACCCATCGAGGCAATAAAAAAAATATATTTTTTTTAAATTATCTTTTAGGCCAGACATACAAAAACACTTAAACACGTAACCCACAGAAATTGGAATGCATCTAAAAAAATTTTTTTATTGGTTTACTGGTATGCACAATATCTGCTGCCACACCACAGTTTTGCATATCAAAGGCACAGTACTAAAACCTTTAAAAACAACAACGTTAAGGTCGAAAGTCGGAAGTTTTCGAGTCGCCTCTTAGTTGAGGACACAACATTTATGACCGAGCTTAATAACTGATTCATATTTAAGTGAGTTTCACTTAAAACGTTGCCTATAAATATCGCAACTTCGTTTTATTCGTGTAAAGTCAATAGGGCACGACAGATCAGCGCAGATTAGCATTGTCGGGCTTCATTAGAGACACAGCGGACGCGGATCGGAAACATATAATGTTACAACTATTACACGATTTGATTTGTAATCTGAAACGACAACGCGTACCGGTGCGCAATTCGAAGGATATCTTCGAAATCTGAACCTCCGTTTGTTAATCTAATTCCGGATAGTGGAGTTTTTAGTTGTATTTTAGTAAAATGTTTTATTTGAGAAGGTAAACCGGGATGGAGTTATCGATATATGTATATGTAGTCTGGTGGTAGGACCTTTTGTGAGTCCGCACGGGTAGGTACCACTACTCCGCCTATTTCTGCCGTGAAGCAGTAATGCGTTTCGGTTTGAAGGGCGGGGTAGCCGTTGTAACTATACTGAGACCTTAGAACTTATATCTCAAGGTGGGTGGCGCATTTACGTTGTAGATGTCTATGGGCTCCAGTAACCACTTAACACCAGGTTTGACTGTGAGCTCGTCCAACCATCTGAGCAATAAATAAATAAAAATGTAGTCGCTAGCGGACTGCAAGGTGCTTTCTATTTCTGCCGCTTGTAAGATTTAATACAACTGAGGCTTTCAAAGACATTCTCTCAAGAGATATGAGGTTACCCAGACACGAATCTACCTACCTTAGTAGGTGGCAGCAATTTCATTTTGATGTTTAAAGCTTCTGGTGATCATTTATCCATAGGTTGGCAGCTCACGGCTAACCTATGATAAATGCAGCTAAATAAATTCACTAAAAGATGACGTTAATATTAAATTAAATTATCTTGTTACAGAGGATTGCGTTGCTAATGAAGAAGGCTCAGCTGGTGGATCTCCGCGTCCCCGGAGTCCGCCACGAGCTCCCACTCCTCCGTCGCCGTCGCGTTCGTCCCCTCGTTCACCGCGACTACATCCCGCCTTATACCCGCAGCAGCAAGACCCTCAGGACTCCGATCCCGACATAGACGAGAGCGACGATTTCGATAAAGACGAAAAACGAGACCCCAATACGAATTTAGGAAAGAGGAAGAAGAAAACGCGCACGGTATTTTCACGTTCTCAAGTGTTCCAGCTTGAATCCACGTTCGACATGAAACGGTATTTGAGCAGCTCCGAACGCGCCGGCTTAGCGGCTAGCCTACATCTCACCGAGACGCAGGTAAAGATCTGGTTCCAGAACCGACGCAACAAGTGGAAGAGGCAGCTAGCTGCTGAACTAGAAGCGGCAAACATGGCCCACGCTGCCCAACGTCTCGTTCGGGTACCGATTCTGTATCACGAGTCGCGACCAACGTCGATCCCCCACACGCCGTTGCCGATGCACCCTCAGTTCTCCAACGAGCCCGGAGTTTATTTTCCTCAGCAGGCGCCGCAGCAGCTGCAGCCCCTCCCGGCTTCTCCGGTGACGTCACGGGCTCCCCTCTCGAGTCTGGTATAGTGTCCGCTTGAAGCCGCTCGCGGGGCCTCCTCAGCGGACGGACCGTATTTAAATTAAAAGTGTTTTAATTTAAAAAAAAAAAAAAAAACGCAGGACTAGTCATGAATTTTGAGTGTTAAATGCCAAATCGTTCGAATTGTAAAACTTATACGTATGGATTACGAAAGCTGTAGGCTTAGTCATTTTATTTATTCAATCGGATATCGACAAAAAAGGCATTTCGGGGGGCTTGTGTTTTATTCATTTTGGAAACGATAGAATGTTTGTATTGTGTAAGTTATCTGACGGTTCAATTGTTGTTTGAACGCAACGTGCCAAACTGAATAATGAAAAAAAAAAACTCTGCAAAAAGACTTACATGTATTTCATTGAAATCGTGTGGGATAGTACAAGTTCTTTGTGATGCTGTTTGATGTTTTGACGTGAATAATTTCGGTATAAAAAGTAACGTACAAATAAATAAAAAATTATAATTCGATGTAATAACGTGTACAGTTTTGTATATAACGAATGTTTTAACGAATAATACTTTTATTTATTTAGTTGTAAGGCTCTAGTTAATGTTTGTAAATATTAGGAATTCGAAGAACTGAAAATATGCTTTTATAATGTTAATAAGTAAATAAATATACTTGTGTAATGTTTTTTCCTGTCTTTAAAAAAGTTGTTTGAATAAAAACACGGCTGAATGTTGCGCGTAGACATATTTTTTTTTTTGTTAAAGTTTCACTTCTTTGAATGGTGAACGTTGTATTTGACAGATATATAAATTTGTGTAAAACTATTACAAGTTAACACAATAATTTCGTTTATTATATCAAAACCAATAGTAGGGGTTTCATTCGGTCCTTCGAAGTTCAAATAGGCTTGAAAGAAAAAGAAGATGGCCAGTGTTACCAGGATCATAAAAATTTTTTTAAATAAAAATATTCCAAGTAAAATAATTCCCGACAAATTAAGTTGGTGCTACATTGGTCAGGCGTGGGATCTACTTACGCGATAAAGGCGTTGAAGTACATACATATGTGCATAGAAATAAGTTGTAAATAACCACACGTGATGCATATGATCTAGCTAGCTGTTCATAGATTAAGATGAGTATATGAACAGCGAGTTATACACTCATAAATACAGTGTATCTAGCGTCTGCCTAATGTAATCCTAGCCTTAATTATTTTTGTTATTAATCGATTCGTTTGGTTGTAATTCTGTAATGTTGCTAGCCTAAATAAAATAAATTACTAAATCATTGCTTAATTACTAGGTAGTTCATCTATGTCATCGCATTATGTAATGTATATTATGCTGAAAATATCGCGCGGAATATAAATGATATGCAATAACATTGTTTACTTTTATTTATAATCCTTCCTACAAAAATAATTAAAAATAGTAAAAATTGATTATAGTTATCCTCTTCAACTGGTTCCTCTTAATTCATGCCTAGCAAAAATGTCCTGACATTTTTGTATGGAAATTTCGTGTAACATAAATTAAATACGCAAACTTTATGTGTTAACCCTTGTGGTAAGTGGTAGGACATCTTGTGAGTCCGCGCGGGTAGGTACCACCGCCCTGCCTATTTCTGCCGTGAAGCAGTAATGCGTTTCGGTTTGAAGGGTAGGGCAGCCGTTGTAACTATACTGAGATCTTAGAACTTATATCTCAAGGTGGGTGGCGCATTTACGTTGTAGATGTCCATGGGCTCCAGTAACCACTTAACACCAGGTGAGCTGTGAGCTCGTCTACCCATCTAAGCAATAAAAAAAAAAAGTTTATTTAATAACATTATAAAAATGAAATCATTAGTTTCGCAATAGTTTATCGAGTAAATAATCGACGATCTTTATCTCTTAAATGTGTTTGTCAAAAACACCCTGATTTCGGGGTAATTTTTAAACGTTGGCACGCGCCGCTTCTAACCGTCCACATCCGGCGCTTCCGGTTCGCTGCCCACGGACTTCGATAGCGAAGTGTTGGGCAAACGAATTTTTATGTTTTAAAAGATGGCTGCTCTTTGTATTTTTCTACTGTCTTATAAAGTTTCGAGAATAACACTCGTTGTTAAGCCTTAGGAATTATCTCAGCGAAAATTCATGTTTCAACAAATATTGGTATATGTTAAAATTCATTACGGATTAATTTTGGGTGTCAAAATTCTAAGATAATAAGACTATCGGCTTCGACCATAGCTTCTAAATCTACGCAAATAGAAAGAGATAGAAATAGAAAAAAACAAAACTTTAGTACCTATGTATTCTAAATATGTAAATATTCCATGTAAATTTTTATCTACTAGTAATATTTATCTTTACAGTAGTTAGTGTACAATATTTGCTTGTACTGTTCTTAAAATCACAGATTCGCGTATGGAAAAACTGATCAAATTTATTTGTATTTTTTTGTCTCTAAGCATCTGTGATTTTTGTGCATACTGTGACATTGGCAAATTCAATGCCAAAGGCGTTGGAGCCAAAATAAAAAATAAATAATTAAAAAAACAATAGAAAAATATATTCAATAACGCGCTCCGTTAAAAAAACCCATAACATATTTTGAAGTCGTCGTGGCCTAACGGATAAGACGTCCGGTGCATTCGTGTTGAGCGATGCACCGGCGTTCGAATCCCGCAGGCGGGTACCAATTTTTCTAACGAAATACGTACTCAACAAATGTTCACGATTGACTTCCACGGTGAAGGAATAACATCGTGTAATAAAAATGAAACCCGCAAAATTATAATTTGCGTAATTACTGGTGGTAGGACTTCTTGTGAGTCCGCGCGGGTGGGTACCACCACCCTGCCTATTTCTGCCGTGAAGCAGTAATGCGTTTCGGTTTGAAGGGTGGGGCAGCCGTTGTAACTATACTTGAGACCTTAGAACTTGTATCTCAAGGTGGGTGGCGCATTTACGTTGTGGATGTCTATGGGCTCCAGTAACCACTTAACACCAGNGCCTATTTCTGCCGTGAAGCAGTAATGCGTTTCGGTTTGAAGGGTGGGGCAGCCGTTGTAACTATACTTGAGACCTTAGAACTTGTATCTCAAGGTGGGTGGCGCATTTACGTTGTGGATGTCTATGGGCTCCAGTAACCACTTAACACCAGGTGGGCTGTGAGCTCGTCCACCCATCTAAGCAATAAATAAAAAAAAAAAATATTTCGCTCTCTGTCTGTTTTAAATTCCATCTCTTTCTATTTGGTCTTTTTAAATCATATGCATTAACTAAATTAAATAAAACAATTGGTACGCCCCTTAATTCGATGGCTATTTTCGATCCAACCATGACCCAGCTTCTTATTTTTTATTGCTTAAATTGGTGGACGAGCTCACAGCCTACCTGGTGTTAAGTGGTTACTGGGGCCCATAGACATCTACAACGTAAATGGACCACCGACCTTGAGATACAAGTTCTAAGGTCTCAGTATAGTTACAACGGCTGCCCCGCCCTTCAAACCGAAATGTATTACTGGTTCACGGCAGAAATAGGCAGGGTGGCGGTACCTACCCGTACGGACTCACAAGAGTCCTACCACCAGTAATGAAGCTATTGGGTTTTCCGCTAATAGGAACTAGTAGATTCGCAATGGATGCTGTTGGACACCTTTTTTCCCTACCTAATCGCTAGCATCCTATGGGGCTACTTCAGTTATTCACGAACGTGAGCTCACGGACTCAATCTGAGTCAATTTATAAGATTAGCCCTAGCAAGAGCAGTGCTTCGCTAAATCTACCACCGGATCGCGACCCACTGGGAAGATCCGGCGAGAAACTCGGTGGGCTGTGTCTATGGGTTAATTCGCATGTCGAGCTCCTAAAGGTTACCGATGCTTGAAGAGCCTAAGAGCACCGATGCCTTTTACTGGTGGTAGGACGTCTTGTAGGTCACCACCACCCTGACTATTTCTGCCGTGAAGCAGTAATGTACTGTAAAAATTCATACCTTAGATCATCTTGAGTTCAATTCCGGTAACCACTTAACACCAGGTACAGTAATTACGCAAATTATAATTTTAGCGAATTTGATTTTGATTACACGATGCTATTCCTCCGTAGTGGAGATCATTCGTGAGCATGTCTTAATTACGGATTTGATTAGGGAAGTTGGTAGCTGCCTGCGGGCTTCGAACAGCGGGGGTTCGGTTCTATAGGCATTGCTACGCCACTGGAAGATTATGTCCCTTAGAAATAAGGTGACACTCTACAAAACTTGCATACGCCCCGTCATGACCTATGCAAGTGTAGTGTTCGCTCACGCGGCCCGCATACACTTAAAATCCTTCCAAATCATTCAATCCCGTTTTTGCAGGACAGCCGTCGGAGCCCCGTGGTTCGTCAGGAATGTCGACCTCCATGACGACCTGGACTTAGAGTCCATCAGTAAGTATCTGCAGTCGGCGTCCATGCGCCACTTCGATAAAGCGGCACGACACGAGAACCCTCTCATCGTGGCCGCCGGTAACTACATTCCCGATCCTGCGGACAGAATGGAAAGCAGTCGGCGTCGCCCAAAACACGTCATCTCGGATCCTCCCGATCCACTAACGGTGCTTTTAGGTACTTCANGCCCAAAACACGTCATCTCGGATCCTCCCGATCCACTAACGGTGCTTTTAGGTACTTCAAGCACCGGTCACCGTTCTCGTCGAACCCGTCGCTTGCGACGAAGGGCTCGACGAGCAAATTAACTCTCAGACACAGCCCACTGAGTTTCTCGCCGGATCTTCTCAGTGGGTCGCGTTTCCGATCCGGTGGTAGATTCTGCGAAGCACGGCACTTGCTAGGGTTCGTGTTAGCAACATCGTCAGGTTTGAGCCCCGTGAGCTCACCTACTAAAGTTAGGGTTACGCTGACATAGCCGCTAGGGCTATCAGCTTAGGTAGGAAAAAAAAAAAAAAAAAAAAGGAAGATTAGCAGAAAGCTCTCAATCGCCGACGGATAATCGAATGTTAGAACTGGTGGCGGTGCAGTCCTCTTACTTTGGGTCACTGCACCGGCG